TTGTTGTTGTTGTTGTTGTTGATGTTGTTGTTGTTGTTGTTGTTGCTGCTGCTGCTGCTGCTGCTGCTGCTGCTGCTGCTATTAGTTTGTTAAATATCTTAAGATGTCCTTCGCAAGAAGGTCCCAGCACAGGTTACAGCACATAATAATACAATACACTTCAATCAGAAATAAGTAATAATAATAATAATAATAATAATAAACCATGCATAACCCCAAAACAATAATTCCGCAAAACACGTCTCAGGGAGAGACACCGCAGTCAATTCATTATAAAATCAATTCATCAGTTCATTAAAGAAGCAGGAAGATTCTAGCATCAACACTGGTAAGAGTTCCATAAGAAGAAAAGAAAGAAAATAGCTTTACCCTGGCATGTGTTGTGGTTTGAAAAGCATTTTGCAGCTAACTGATTTAGATGGGTGGGGTGGGGAATCTATGACCTAAGGGCCACAGTTTTTTTCAGCAGGGTTTTTATTAATATATAGCACAAACAGACCAACTCAAATACAGAAATTTAAAACAAGTGGTACAAGTTAATGAACATTAATATATCTCTCCTTCCTTTTGCCATCTAAACAAAACCAGAGCATTTGTATCTCGTGGTAGTCCATATGGTATCTTGAAAGCAGCAACTAGCGCACTAGGCTCTTTTGTGGCCTCATGTGCCTTTCCCCTTGGCCTAACTCAGTGTGACTGGCAAGGAGCGGGAAAGGGTGCCCCACTCACTTGAACCTTACCCACTAACGGCAGATGACCCCCTGAGAGAATAATGCCCTCAACAGGGAAAGGTTTTCCACCAGTGGGCATATTCTGAAAGCTGCAAGACCAGGGTTAAAGAAGTTGGACCATAAACTTAGTCACTGCCAAGGTAAATAGAGGATTACAGTGTTTGGGAGACATTTTTGAACAAAAAGAGCCAGGGGGGCAAATACAAATACACAATTCACACAAATTCAAATGCACTTTGGGAGCCTGCAGTGTGCTGCAGCCCAGCCAACACTCACTTAGCATTACTTTATTAAACAATAAAACCAGGTGTTTAACAAGTTGTCTGTATTTAGCGCTCTCTCTTCTGTCTCCCCCCACCCTCCATCCATGCAGTAGGCAGTAGGAGTTTTTCTGGCTAAGAAAGGGGGTTAAGAGTGAAGAGATGTTAAGAAAACGATGAAGATTTTTTCCCTTTTTAATTAGAAAATTTTATTTACAAACAAAAACATAGACACAAAACAAAATTCATATTACACTACCACCCTAGGTTACAAATATTAAAACACCCTTGTGACTTCCCTCCACTGTCCCTCACCCTCCTGTGAAGGTTGTTTTTGCTAGGCAAATAAAAACTGTGGCCATGTGAAGCCATGACCAGGGACACTTGAGAAATGTTTTCATTTTCGTCTGACTCTTAGGTGTGTGTTTGCAAATAAAGTTGATTAGCAAGCGTCATAGGGAGATGATCAGCAGGGGGTTTGGGGCTGCGGACCCATTGGAAGAGCTTGCTTTTTGTAACATCCATATGCTTGGTAAACCTTGGGCGTGGAGGTTTCTATGGCAATCAGGGCTGGAAGGAAAGTACAGTTCAGTGTGTGCATGTATATGTATGTATATATTCAGCAAATGAGTGTGGGGACCCCCGGTATGGGCACGGAGCTCTGAATTTCGGGACCTGGCTGGGGCCATGCTTGCACTCATTAAGGAGATGATGAGGTTGCCGAGCTCAAATTGCCGAAGATTAGGAGACACTGGAAGATTGAGGGCACTGACAGCAGCACTGAAAGATTGAGGGCACCGACTTGCTCCATATGCTGATCAGAAATGACTCTGAGGGATGCAGTGGCACTACATTGCTCAGCTGGGAGAAGGTCTGCGAAGATTGTGGGGGTGGGGGGACAAGGCTTTTTACCTTTCGTTCCCTGTGGAAGTATGGGATCAGAACGACTGCACCCATGCTGTAGAGTCAAATCAAACTAGATTTTTTTCTGATAAGACTACTATAACCTGCCTTCCTGGTTAATATGGCGGCTACATTCAGTGTTAGGGGAACAGTCCAGTCCACTGCCTCCACAATGCTGGGAGCCGGTGTCTGCCACTTTGCCATACGTTTTTCTTCACCTTGCCTACCTTGTAGCTGGGTTTGAGTCTATATATGTGTGTGTGTATTTGGCAAAGGGACTTTCTCCTGAAGCTTAGACTAGGGTAACCCTGTTGCTGTTTTTCAAATTGCTGCCCTGTGTGACTTCCTAATCCTAGTGTTTTGTTGATGCTTATTTTAATTGCATCCCGTCTCTCCAAGGAGCTCCAGGCAGCATGTTTGGTTCTTCCCTTTTATCTTTGCAAACAACCTTGTGAGGTAGGTTAGGTTGAGAGATTGTGGCTGGCTTAAGGACACCCAGTGAGAGGAAGGGGAGGCGGACTTGGATCTCCCCAGTCCTTGTCCAAAACTCTGTGACCACTGTGCCACTTTAGCTCACTTCTTCTCAGGCCTGTTTGCAGTTGTATGGGTTCAGTCAGTGTCATCTGTGGGGGTTTTTCTGGCAAATTTCATCCTCCCCATGCCTTTGGGGTACTGTTGACCCCTGCTACCATTTGTGGTACTGTTAAGGGAAGGGAGTGATTTGTCTATTACATGAAAATAGACAACATATTGAGCAATATCCAACTAAATAGATCTGCTAGTGCAGGCATAGGCAAACTCGGCCCTCCAGATGCTTTGGGACTACAACTCCCATCATCCCTGACCCCTGGTCCTGTTAGCTAGGGATGATGGGAGTTGTAGTCCCAAAACATCTGGGGGGCCGAGTTTGCCTATGCCTGCACTCGTGCAAGGATTCCCACATGTGCAACAGAACTTCTCCCACCCCTGTGCCCTCTCCAAATCTATCGCAGGGTTAGTGGAAGCCCCATAACATATTTAGGGAAACGTGTAGAGAAGAGAGGGAGACTTTCCATGGCACAAGTGGAAATACTTGGGCTAGCACATCTACTTACTTAGATGTTGCCCACAGTCTTTTCATCTGTTATTTCCCCCACAAAATGGACAGAATAGGTTCTGAGTTAAATATCAAAAACATTGAACATCAGTTTTGAGTTTACTTTTATTCCTAGAGTGAGTGTTTTGGGGTTGTTGTTTCTTGTTTGTTTGTTTTTTTTGTTGTTGTTTTTTTTTTGCCTTCCCAGTCATTCCAGTTAGGGGTAGAATTGCTCCCCAAAGCCATAAAAATTAAAGCATAGATTGCTCCCTAAATTAAGGAGTGTGTGTCCTGCAACACCCACATTTAAGGAATACCTGGAATAAGGAGTTGTGGGAGACTAACTGACTTCCACACACCCCATACTTTTGGAGTGTGTTTGTCCCTACCTGATGGCACAGAATGAAATTGTACCAGGCTGTTAGTAATGTGACCCTAAAACCTGATACTGCTCAAAATTCCTTCGGCAGCATTCTAGTAGAATTTTATTTTATTATTTTTTGTGGTCTTCAAAGGCAGCCCCGCGTAAAAGTGTGTGCCAGCAATACAATATTAATGGGTACTACTAGTGTATGCTTAACTTTGGACAGGTCTGGCATCTGCTGAAGTGGAGCAGAATCACTTATGGCCAGAGCCACTATATGGACCATCCAGGATCGAAGCTGAGGCCTGGAGCACTCTCAAACAGTGAAGCTGATTTTTAAAGGGGAGTTCAGTCCTGTCCACATCAAGCCCCAGGACCACTAGGCTTCCTTGTCCCGGCTGTGTTTCACCTTGTTTGCCCACATCCAGCCTGCCAGTGGCTTCTGCAAAACAGGCTTGGTTCCCCGCTGTCCATAGTTCTGGCTGCTCATGGTGTGTTCCATGGGAATGAATAAAATAACAAGGATACTGTAAGGGAACAGAACTCTGCCCAGCGACATTTCTTTCTCTGAAGAGACTTGGGGCTGCTCACACAGCCCGTGGTGCTCAGTGCTCAAGACACCTTGGTATTACCCTGTCCACCCATGCCAAGGCCTGGACCCTGTAGAAAAGCACCACAGCTGTGTTTTAATTCCCGGGATTTGTTACAAAGTCATCTGTTCGCAGAAGCATTGCAGTTGGGGGCATCTCCTTGCTCTGTTTGGGTCATTTGCCAGCTGTGTGCTTAATAGGACGTGCAGCCTTTCCGCTAATGGTGATGAAATTGATGCCGCTGATGAGATGGGGGCAGGAAAGTACAAAGCTTGGGCCGAGGAGCAGTTCCCTGGGGGTGGGGGTTGGTCTTTTATCACAGCTACTTTATGCACACACCGCTCTGTCATCAGAGCCTTTGAGCTCTGCTCTGTCTTGCCCCCTCTTCCCACCTTTGGGAACAGGCTCGGCTGCGAGCCGTGTGGTTTTCTGAGATTGCTTCCGCCATTAGACAGGCATAGATTGGCACTTGGTTGGCAATAGTGGCCTGTGCTCGTTTGGGGGGGGGAGCAACACTTCTCCATATTAACCCTCCCCTCAAAATATGCCATACATTTGCATGCCTCTCGGTCAGCGTCCGATTCACAAAACATTCTGGAAGAGGCGTGTCCCCGTGTGGTGTAGTGGTGAGAGCGTTTGAACTTGGTGCTTCAAAGCCAAAAGGCAAATCCGCCACATGCCCACTCAGCCACAAAGCTCACTGGTCAGTGTGTCTCAGCCTAGCCTGCTTCACAGAGCTGTGGTGGGGATTAAGGGAGACCCTCTGCTGCCCTGGAGGCAGGGGTAGAATTCGATACATGGAGAGATACTGGTAGAGGCTGGTGGAAGGGGTCTGAGCAGAGGAAGTAGACATTCGGAGAGAGCACCTCATGTGCATTGTGGGAGGAGATGTAATTAGGGAAGAGGCCTGGTCTGTGGCTGAATTAATGAAGCATTTTCCCCACCACTTGCCGATGTGCTGTAGCCTCCTAGCGTTGGCACGACTGATCCGGAGACTGTTGTCATGAACTGAAACTGCTTGACGCCTCTCCTTGCCTCCAAGCTCCGGCTCACTGGCTGTTTCTCCACTTTCTACAGATCCCAAAGAACCAGGGTGTCTGAGATTGAGCACCCCCTCCTGCCTTGCCAACGTCCCCAATGCGACCATGGGAACTGGCAGTGAATAGGCGGCCTCCTTCTGTCCCTTTTGACCAGCGACGATTCTCAGGGGGAAGCTGTGACAGCCCAGCACACCTCAGGAGAAGGTACGACTCTTCCTCTCTTTCACTGTGCAGATCACCTGGAGGTTTCTTAGGGCAAGCGCTGGAAAAGCCGGAGTCTCCCTGTATGTAAGCGGATAGCGAAAGTGGTCCCCTCTAATTTCCAAAAGGTTCCCTATGCAATTCTGAAAGCAAAAGTGCAATCCATATTAATGTAAGCCAACATTTTCTGGAGCATATTTGCTTTACCCGCCAGCTCCCAGCTTCCTCTCATATGAAGTTAAATGAGAAGAAAACCTTGCACTGTCCATCTGGTGTTATCCCGTTGACATGCACAGCTTGTTTACATGCAAGGTGTTTGTGTAGGTATCTGAACAAAATTAATCCAGATACTGCCTGAGCAAACTTAAAGCTTTGCTCTCATCCAGAGTCCAGGTAGCCATCTGTGTTGCAATGCACATCCAAGATGCAGGTGCAGAAGGAAAGACCAGGATTACCAGTGGAAAGGTGTTGAACCATCAGTTGAAAGGCCTCCATAGCAAGCCTGTGTTTTAATGATTTTAGGATTAATTTACTTGCCTTATACTAAGCTAGCTTTGCTCCAGATGCTGGGAACCTGCCATGTTTGGGAGGCTCTTTGAGATGTGACACCTTAACCTATTCCTGTCTCCCCCGATATTGCTGATCTCCAACTCCCATCAGGCTCAGCTACTCTGGACATTATCCGGAGGACCACAGGTTTCCCAGCCCTGCCTGAGATACCGGGAAGAACAGATTCACTTTGTATGCTGAAGGGTTTGGTCAAACCAGAGTCCTGGAAAGAATGCAGCAATGATAATAAAATAATATATATTTAGATTCTATCTTATCTCTTAGCTTTCCGCTCAAAGGAACCCACTCAAGGCTTTGTTCCATGTTATGTCTCTGTATTCAGTGTTATGACTGAACTTGTGTCCTAGTTTTTTTTGCTGCACCAACAGTTGCTCCCTTGTGTTGCTGTTCTGGCCTAACCCTGCTGCTAAAACAAAACAAAACACATACAATAAAATGGGTGAATTTGTAGCTGAGAGCTCAGTGCAGATAATTGGCTGGCCCCTGGGGTCACCCCTCTATATTTCTCTCCCCACAACTGGCTCCACAGCCCTTCTTCCCGGCACCACTGGGGCCGACGCGAGCGACCTCTGCAAACTCTCCTAGCCCAGGATGAGAACTACTTGCACCCGGCTTTTTTCCAGCAGCCACACACCCCTGTAGATGAGCACCCGGCGTACGTTCTGGCCAATACGCCACCACGAATGCTTCACCCGGCTGCACACCCACCCCACCAGCATCCATTCATGGTGGATCTCCATGAGCAGGTAAGGATGATGCCTGGGGAGGGGTTGGGGGGGTAGATGGCTCAAAACTCTGCGGATTCCAAGGGCTGGAATCTTGTCCCACCAATGGAGAAACTGTGGCTGGGATTTGCCTAGATCCCAAGCTGACCAGGACCAGCAGACCTGGTCAGGGCAAGCACATCTGCTCCCTTCACTTTTCCGCCACTGAAGTGGAAAGCTATTGTGTGTTGGATATACTCCATTTTTGTCAGTGGAGATTGGCACAGCTGTATCCAGGCCAGTAGAGTGCCTGGCAGCGGGTGCCCACTCCCAACAGTATTCAGCAAAAAGCTGGCACCTTCCTTGCTAGCCTGAGCACAGAGAAACAACATCTTTCTGCATCAGGGTACCTCACCTGTGGCCTCCCATGTGTTGGTGGCCTACAGCTCCCATCAACCTTGGCCAGTGCTGGCTGGGACTGATGAGAGTTTGGAGGGCTACAGCTTAGCTACTCCTGCTCTCCATGTTGCTCTCCACCAAAACTTCCGTTTCCTGACTGAGAAAGCAACCAAACCCAAGGACATGAATGTTCTGTCATATTGAAATTTGATTTTGTACCATGTGCTGCTTTTGGCTGTAAGATCCAAAATAGGTTGGACTGGTGTGTCTAGCAAATACGGAGTGCAAGTCCCTACAGTGGGATTCCTGCAGACTTCCCACAAAACGAAACTTCAGTGGCTGTGGAAGACTTTTTTACAGGCCATTTGCGGGGTGGGGGGGACATACAACAGCACTGTTCTCCCTTCCATTCTTTCTACAGTGGTACCTCGGGTTAAGTACTTAATTCGTTCCAGAGGTCCGTTCTTAACCTGAAACTGTTCTTAACCTGAAGCACTACTTTAGCTAATGGGGCCTCCCGCTGCTGCCGCACCGCCAGAGCACAATTTCTGTTCTCATCCTGAAGCAAAGTTCTTAACCCGAGGTACTATTTCTGGGTTAGCGGAAGTCTGTAACCTGAAGCGTATGTAACCTGAGGTACCACTGTATATCTAACATATATCTGAAAACCACCCATCACAAGCAAAATAGGTGGGCTAAGGATTGAACACCCCAACTTGGGACCCTTTTCGGCTGGTGGAACAACGTGATGACACATCTAGTGAAAGAAGGAAGGAGGCCTTCAGGTGCACAGACTGAACCCAATTCATTTTCAAATAACAAATCCTTCTCCACATTGCACTGTGCAATATAAAAATAAAATAAAATTGCATTGCTAACCATCTGCAAAATAAAATGAAAGTAAAACTCAGGATATCGTTTCATCAAAGGCAATAAACTAACTGTAGATCTGTCCCCCGGTGTGAGGGTTATGTCTCAGTTTGGAAGCTCGCACAACCTTTTGGGAGACCAGAGGGTAAAAAATGCCAGTTTTCTGTGCATGTCGCATATCCCAAAATGAGGGACTTGGAACCAGGAGAAGTAAACCACTTAGGATAAGTCGTAAACAGAATGTATATATTTCAAGGCACAAAATAGTAATTGATGAAATACAATTGAAAGTATGTGGACAAGCGTTCAAGATCTAACTATTTCTCAAAAGAAGCCCAGGAGGATTCCAGACGCTTGATGGGTAGTTGGGTCACTAGATTCACCTCAGGAAATTTTCACCGAGAGTCAGTTTGAATGCAGAGCTTTAGAAATTCATATATTGTACAGAGTCCTGCAGCTTCCCAGTAGGAGATGAAATGAGCTAGTCATAGGTTCAAATATTAATTCTGTGAGCTACAGAAAGTTTTGCCCTCACGCCCCGAGAGCCATAATGGGAAAGCTTCTTCAAGGGAGAAGCTGCAAGTGTCTGTCAGCTGCAGTGCTGGTTCCTAGAGGAAGCTGAGTACTATATAACTCATCCTTGATCTCCAGAACTTACACATAGCAGCCTGGGAAGTGTTCTTTCAGAGAGCGTGTCATCCCAACTCTTAAATTCTTGGACATGCTTGTACAGTAAGCCCACAACGTCTGTGAGGGTTATGTTACAGCGATCACGCCTAAAGCCAAAATTGCATATGGTCAAAATACATTGGGTTAAATGGTGGGTGGGATTGTCAAAGCCATTTTTCTCACAACTCTGCCTCCATTTCAATTTTTATTTTATTTTTTTGCCACGTGTGTGGAGCTGAATGTGCACAAGTTAAATGTGCATAAGTTGTGGGTTTGCTGTAGATTTGGAACACTAATCTTATGAATTGTATTTCATCAATTTCTACTTTGTGGTTATCTGAATCTTGCATCTTTCTTTGGCATACTTTAGCCGTGGGCTCTTGGGTGGTGGCAGTGGCAGGTGAGGGGTTATCTAAGGCAGAGGGAACATCCCCATGTGAGGAGGTGTGACTTTTGATTCTGCCGCTGCTGCTCTCTTTCCTCCAGGTGCATCAGGGAGCCATCCCTCTCTCCTACACGGTGACCACAGTAACCACACAAGGCTTCCCCATTCACACCGGCCAGCACATCCCAGGTTGCAGTGCGCAGCAGCTCCCAGCATGCTCAGTGATGTTCAGCGGACAGCACTACCCACTCTGCTGCCTCCCACCCCCCGTGAGTCTTTTGGTATGGGGAGAGAGCAGTGAAGGTTAAATGTCTTGTTCTCTGATTTGCCATGAGGGGGGTATTGCACCACTTCTCTGTTTGGGTTTGATACCTGATCAGCCGGGCTGGTTTTTTTACCTATAAAAAGAGGCTAGGATATATTGACATTCTGCTTAAGGCCTCTAGGTTTCCTGCCGATCTTAGAGGAGAGGATATAGCCTGCTGCTCATGGGATTCTCCCCACCCTGTTCTATAGCCAGACCGACGTCAGCTGCCTTTGAAGTTGGTTGTAGCCTTCTCATGGTGACTCTCAGTGGTGACTCTCTTCCCTTCCCTCCCTCCCTACCTTCTTATAGCTGATCCAGGCCTGTGCCATGCAGCAGCTCCCTGTCTCCTACCAAACGTTCCCGCCGCTCATTTCCAGCGACCATTACATCCTGCACCCTCCACCGCCTGTGCCACCACACCAGCCTCCACACATGGCTCCCCTCAGCCAGTTTGTCCCACTCCAACCCCAGCACCCTCGCATGGTAAGTTGTTTGGGGTGGCAGGCAGTGGGCTTGGCGGAGGGAAGGGAGGGATGTCTGGGTCCTGTCCCCACCCCATGCTCTCAGCTCTGTTCTTCTGAGGGATATCAAAGCTGGTGCGATCTCAGTTCTCCAGCGTAGCGTACAGTTGAAGACTTGGGTTTCAGTCTTCACAGGAGGTCTCTTGCCGTTGTAACAAGAGAGAACTGTACCTGGTTTCCAGTGGTCATCAGAGGTAGGTAGGCAATGCTAGAAACTCACATATATAAGCTAGAGCCCTCCCACCTCCTTTCCAAAGCTTAGTGCCTCGCTTACCCAGCTTTGGGAAGGCAGTGCAAGGGCAGGGGAGGCGGTTCTTGTGTCGCTGAGGGCTGCCAAAAAGGCCTTGAGGACTGCACCTTGGACCACCCTGTTCTGTACTATCCTGAGTAAGAATGGCAGCATTTCTAGTTAGCCCTGTATATTGTCTGCTTTCTCCACAGCCACTGCAGAGGATAGACAATGAGGTGGAGCTCCGGGGTGAACAGCACTCTATCGGAGGCTTCTCCTATTCTCCTTCCCACCATACTCCTGCACTGTCTCCCTCCGTGCCACTACATTACCTTCCACACACCCATGACCCACTGCACCAGGAACTGCCCTTTGGCGTGGTGAGTGTTCTGGGATCATAGCAATGAGGCCTCAAGCACTGGACCCCCCTGAGGGGGAAAGGGCCTCGTTAAAGAGGGTCCTTTGTTTGCTCAGGAATAATGGAACTCTGTGCTTCAGCAGGGCTGACCATCTGAGGACCCTTTGTACACTGTTAGGTGCAAAACGAGTGACCAGGGGCCAGGGTCTTTCTCCAGAGTTGGCTAGCCCTTTTCAGTAGCCTCTGTGGGTGGGTAGATGCCCTTTCACGAAAGGATGACTCTTCACAGTTTGGGAGCTCTCCTTTTGCATTTGCAGCTCTTAACTCCCCCACTCGTGTAAGAAATACTTGTGCATGTGTGTGCCGTTGTTCCGTGGGGATACAGACAACCTGTATAAGGCGGCTTTGAAGATCTGCAGCAATTGATAATGTTTCATGCTGCAGAATTAATCCTTTCTTGGTGCAGAATGTTTCTGTTTTCCTAGCTGCAGATTTTTATTTGTGTCCTGTTTGGTATGGGGGATACACTGCCTAGGGATTAGTCAGCACCATCTCAGTACGCATCAAACTGACTCACCTCCCGGTGTTTCCAACAGCCATATCCACACATGATGCCCCGGCGACTGAACACCCAGCGATACAGATTGCAGCAGCCACTGCCGCCTCCGCCCCCACCGCCGCCTCCATACTACCCAAGCTTCCTGCCATACTTCCTGTGAGTATCCATTGATCAAACAGAGGGAGGAAGTGCTGCTTGAGGAAGAAGCCTCCTCTTTGCTGCTGGGGTCTAGGGCTGAGGGCCTTGCCTTTCTTTCAGCGTGACCCCTTGGTGGGAATATGGACTTGCCTCCTTTTCCTACCCATGTACTCAATTCAAAACGCAAAGTTGGTTTCTGCCTTGGTTTCTGTGCCTACACGCTTTTCTGCTCCTGTTGACTACTCCCCTCTGCCTTTGAACTTTAGATCAATGCTTCCTGTGTCACCGACAGCTGTGGGGCCTACAATAAGTTTGGACTTGGATGTGGATGATGTGGAGATGGAAAACTATGAGGTGGGTTGGCCTCCCTCTCCCTAGGGGGCATTGGAATGGCAGGAAGGCTCTAGAGCAGCTGGTTAGTGGTACCCTCACTGCATGGTGGAACAGGAAGATGGTAGGGTTTGCCGTGTGATGGGGTCAAGTGGCAGCAGTGCTAGGAGAAGGAACCGTCCTGTAGTGAACGTACTGTTGAAAGAGCGGGTTTCAGGGTGTAGGAGAACGCCTGATTGGAGCCCAGAAGGAAGCTGATCAGCTGTGTATGTATGTTCTTTTTTTAAATCTTCCACTAGGCATTACTGAACCTGGCCGAGAGGCTAGGAGAGGCCAAACCCCGGGGACTCACCAAAGCAGACATCGAACACCTTCCGTCCTACCGCTTCAACCCAGAAAGCCATCAGTCGGAGCAAACCTTGTAAGTGTTGGGAGAAAGGGCCTCCAGTGGAGTCCTAGATGGGGAATAGAAGGCAGCACAGATGAATTTGGAAGGAATTGGGATAGCAGGCATGAGTGTTTCTGTGTGTGAGTGTGTGAGTGAAAGAGAGAGGGGGGATGATGGTGGTGTAACTAGTACTAGATACACAGGATTTAGAACACAGGTGGTCATTGCCACTTTATGTGAGTGGCAGCAGGGAATTCTGGCTGTCTCCTGCTCATATTGCAGGGACCCAATCTTTAGTTGTCCCTTTCCTAGCAGTTGGGGAAAGAGTTTCCTTCGGCAACATTTTGCATACGATTGTAAGTCTCTCTGAGCAATGCAACTGCAGTGAAAGGGTGGGATATAAACAACTCTAGGGTGATACCCGACTAAGTCATAGTATGAGTGGATCCACTGGAAGAAGTGGCCTTCAGCCCATTGATTTCCGTTGGGCTGCTCGGTGTATGACTTAGTGGGATGTCACATTGATAAATAAAATAATTCATGTTGACTCCTATGGAACATACAGTGAAGCGAGAAATAAATAGCTTGAGTTGTACGCCTGTTGATCTACGCTTGCCCCCTTTTATTATTATTTAACCTTAAAGTGTGTTGTGGGGAGGGGGTTGCACTCACCCTTTTTTCTTTCTTTTCTTTCTTGATATACGTACAGACCTCCAAACCGAATCCAACTCATGAGCAACTGGTTCTTCCTGTTTCCAGGGCAAGCGAGCTGTGCAGAGGGCTGAATGACTGGTCCTTGTGACCTTCCTATCTGTTCTTTTTATTTCATTCTATCCCACCTTTCTCATAGCGCAGGACCCAGGGCAGCTCACAATATGCATTAAAAAAAGAATTACAGCTAATAAAACACCTCATTCAGTTATAAATCATATTTAGAAAGTTACCATATCAAAAACACCGAATCGAAACAACTTAAAACAATTTAAAAACACAAGAGGAGAAGAATATATACAATCCTGATTTGCAAGTATTGCTTTGACCTTCTGCTAATCAAAGGCCCCTTTCATTCAGAGTGGATTTTGAAGTATGAAAAAATAATAGGTGGTGGGTTTAATAAAAAAGGGGACCAATTAAATATTTAAATGAATAACCATGAGAAATACCTGAGAGTGGGAAAGACTATTCAAAAACCCCAACCCCTGCTCAAAGCATGGGGGTGGGGAGGTCTTGGCCAAAATCTGCACTGATTGTGGTTGCTCATTGGGGCAAGACAGTTTGAGCATATTACACCGATCCTGGCCCAACAGCACTGGCTGCCAATTAGTTTCCCAATTCAAAGTGCTGGTTCTGACCTATAAAGCCTTAAATGGCTCAGGACCGCAGTATTTCAAGAACCAACTCTACCCATATGAACTGCTCCAGACTCTGCAATCATAATCTGAGGCCCTTTCTCATGTGCTTCCCCCACAAGAGGCCCAGAGGGTGGCAACACAAGAACAGGCCTTTTCTGCAGTGGCTCCCTGTTTGTGGAATTCTCTCCCCAGGGTGGCTCTCTTGGTGCCTTCATTAAACATCTTTAGGTGCCGGGTGAAAATGTTTCTCTTCAACCAAGCGTTTGGCTGTTCTATGACTTTTTACATGTGTTTGTAGAAGGAAGGTTATTGGTTTGTTTTTATTTTATTATGCATTTTGTTTTTTTCTGTTGGGATATTTGGATGAAGGGTGGTATGTTGTTGTTGTTTAGTCATTTAGTCGTCTCCGACTCTTTGTGACCCCATGGACCAGAGCATGCCAGGCTCTCCTGTCTTCCACTGCCTCCCGCAGTTTGGTCAAACTCATGCTGGTAGCTTCGAGAACACCGTCCAGCCATCTTGTCCTCTGTCGTCCCCTTCTCCTTGTGCCCTCCATCAGGGTCTTTTCCAGGGAGTCTTCTCTTCTCGTGAGGTGGCCAAAGTATTGGAGCCTCAGCTTCAGGATCTGTCCTTCCAGTGAGCACTCAGGGCTGATTTCCTTAAGAATGGAGATGTTTGATCTTCTTGCAGTCCATGGGACTCTCAAGAGTCTCCTCCAGCACCATAATTCAAAAGCATCAATTCTTCAGCCACCAGCCCCCTTTATGGTTCAGCTCTCACTTCCATACATCACTTCTGGGAAAACCATAGCTTTAACTATACGGACCTTTGTTGGCAAGGTGATGTCTCTGCTTTTTAAGATGCTGTCTAGGTTTGTCATTGCTTTTCTCCCAAGAAGCAGGCGTCTTTTAATTTCATGGCTGCTGTCACCATCTGCAGTGATCATGGAGCCCAAGAAAGTAAAATCTCTCACTGCCTCCATTTCTTCCCCTTCTATTTGCCAGGAGGTGATGGGACCAGTGGCCATGATCTTAGTTTTTTGATGTTGAGCTTCAGACCATATTTTGCGCTCTCCTCTTTCACCCTCATTAAAGGGTTCTTTAATTCCTCCTCACTTTCTGCCATCAAGGTTGTGTCATCAGCATATCTGAGGCTGTTGATATTTCTTCCGGCAATCTTAATTCCGGCTCGGTATTCATCCAGCCCAGCCTTTCTAATTCTGCATATAAGTTAAATAAGCAGGGAGACAATATACAGCCTTGTCGTACTCCTTTCCCAATTTTGAACCAATCAGTTGTTCCATATCCAGTTCTAACTGTAGCTTCTTGTCCCACATAGAGATTTCTCAGGAGATGAGGTGATCAGGCACTCCCATTTCTTTAAGAACTTGCCATAGTTTGCTGTGGTCGACACAGTCAAAGGCTTTTGCATAGTCAGTGAAGGAGAAGTAGGTGTTTTTCTGGAACTCGAGGGCGATATACTACTACTCATAATAATATGCAGCTGAAGGTGAGGAGGAACTGAACTCTCACCCAGTCATTGGTGTTGTTGTTTTTTTGGTGTTTTTTTGGTCTGCTTTTGAAGGGGCAGTACATCTGTCCACCTTTAGGAATAGAAGGGCTTCTTGAGGAGTGAGTTCAGATTGTAGCAGATCTGTGAATTGTCAGGGGAAGGCAACAACCCTTACTGATATGTACAATCGAGTTGAGCGGTGAAATCCTTTTCCTAGCATGATCATGCAGTGTCACCTGGAAGTATGTATTGGGCACCTAAATAAGATTCTGCTGGAAACAGTGGCAGACACTACTCCCAAAGGGTGGGAGGTCTGAAGCTCAGTGGCAGAGCCTCTGCTTCCTAGACAGATGGTCGTGGGTCCTCAGCATCTCCAGGTGGGTCTGGGAGAGAATCCTGCCTGAAACCCTGGACAGCATCTGCCCATCACTGTAGATCTGACCCAGCATGAGGCAGCTTCCTATGGGCCTGCAGAGAATCTTGCCCCTGTGGGGAAACTGGACCATGCGGTGCTTGAAGACCGTGGATAGCTATTGGTGTGCTGCTCCTTTGTCATTCTTCTGACACTGCACTGACTGGGTCCTTCTCCCTCCCTTCCCCAGGTGTGTTGTGTGCTTCAGCGACTTCGAAGTCAGGCAGCTGCTGCGGGTTCTGCCCTGCAACCACGAGTTCCACGCGAAGTGCATCGACAAATGGTTAAAGGTAACATCTGCTGCTCTTGCTCTATCACTGGGGAACCGTTGCATTAAAAGATTATTCTGTCCGGGATGCTGCGGCTTAATCGTCAAGGAGCATATTCGGAAGTGCATAATCATCAAGTGGGGGGCGGGCATACAGGGGGGAACGGGCCTTTGTGCAAGCGATCTAAGAGACCCAGAGCTTTGGAATCAGCTTTGACAGCGCTCTCTACTGGCTGTTGACTGCAACTGCACCGTGAAGGGGAAGGGGGCTTGGTGCGGGATGGATCTAGAGACTTTGCAGGAGCAGCAGGGCTCTTCCTGGCCATGGAAGTCTCCCCTGCTGTTCTGGGGGAGTTTTGCACCCCTCTGGAGCAGTTTTTACAGAGGGCAGGAGGGCATGCAGAGGGAAGAGTGACTTGGAAAAAGTCACCTCCGCCCCCTTCTGTCAGCAGGAGTGAAATCTGGGATTCAACCACTGCCTCTAATCTCCATTCAACATTGTGGGTAAATTGCAGGCAAATCCTTTAAGTAGAGACTCTGGCTTTTATTATGTGCAAATGCAATGACTGTTCAATGATTTTTGTGCACCTGTAAGGCGACTCAGAATCCTAATTTAAATACAGGAGTGGGGGAAATCCTTAATAACAACAACAACAACAACAACAACAACAACAATAATAAATTTATTATTATTATTATTTATACCCCACACATCTGGCTGGGTTGCCCCAGCCACTCTGAGCGGCTTCCAGACTCATATAAAAACATAATAAAGCATCAAACACTTAAAACCTCCTGATACAGTGCTGCCTTCAGTAGTCTTCTGAAAGTTGTATAGTTATCTCCTTGACTTCTGACGGGAGGATGTTCCAGAGGATGGGTGCCACTTCCAAGAAGTCCCTCTGCCTGGTTCTCTGTAACTTCACTTCTCACAGTGAGGGAGCTGCCAGAAGGCCCTCAGAGCTGGACCTTGGTGTCCAGGCTGAATGATGGGGGTGAAGGCGCTCCTTCAGGTATGCAGGGCCTTAAACTTAAGAAAAGGTCTAGTGGATCAGACAGTGGGTCCTTTGAGTTTAGCATTCTGTTTCCAGCAGTGGTCTGCCAGATAGCCCTCGAAAGCCCTCAAATGGGGTGCAAAAGAAAGTGCCTTTTTTCTTTTTCTTTCCCTTAGTATTCAGAGGTACGCCTAGAGATTCTGTTGAACCATCACACGTAATTAGCCATTGATATACTTATTTCCCATTAATTTTGTCCTGTGCCCTCTTGAAGTCACGTGGGCCACTGCCACATCTTGTGGCTGCGCAATTCTGTAAATTTCACTTGTTAACTTCTCACCTTTTGCAGCCCTATGAGACCCTTTTTGAGAATGAGTGACCAAAGTGGTGTATAGTATTCCAAATGTGGCCATACCACCGCCATTACTTGACTTTACTTATATTGAATCTCATTCATAATTTTATTGGGAGTTTATGGGCTTCCACCATCTAAAATAATCTGTTGTCAACCACAAACTTGGCCACTTTCTTTCTCAGCTGAATCCAGATTATTCATGAACAAATTAAGTAACATTGGTCTCAGTGCAAATCCTAGGAGCACTCCATATCTTGTCTCTGTTTTGAAACCTTCCTGTTTATTCCTGCCGTCAGCCTCCTGCTTTTTACCTAGCTTCTGATCCAAAGGAAATTATGTCAGAAGGAAAGGTTTGGACTGGAGGGCTTCTGGAAGAGGAGGTTCGCTCTTAACTACCTTGTTCCCCTAGATCAGGGGTGGGGAACCTCAGATTTGTGGGGCCAAATTCAGCCAACCAGCCCTCATGATTCCCCCTTTGACCACGCCCTCTCTCCCCAAGCCATGCCTCTCGCCAGCCCTGCTGCGCAGGTGCTTTTTGCCTGCGTGGACTGCATCCTTGCATTAGGATAATGCCTGTTGTCACCTTGGATGGAGAGATCTGTGTAGGAACACCTGAGTTTTGGAAGGCCAGAATGTAGCCTGCTGTACAAAGGTGAGAATTGCATCTGTTGCTCTGGCCACTTGTGCCTGGCCCAGGGCTGGCATGTGGCCCTTGGAAGGTTGCTCATGAAGGCATGTGGTTCTTGGGGCCCAAAATGGTTCCCCACCTGTGTCCGAGATAGAGCCCAGTTTCTTGTCCTTGTCCAGTGTCGGTTGATACCTTGAGAAGTCCATTCCTTCATTCATTAGCTGTTCATCTTGAACATTAGTTGTTCATTAGTTTAGGAGAGAGTGCCAAACCTACAACGAGCAACAGGTCTCAGATAAATGGATACAGGCTGCTGCTGCTGCTGATTGTTTAAGCAGAAACGTTTCCTAGTGGGTGTGGTTGACCTTAAAGCCACGTCCCTCTTTCCTGATCCTGCCATTGGTCATTGCAGGCAAACCGCACATGCCCAATCTGCCGGGCGGACGCCTCAGAAGTGCACCGGGAGGCTGAGTGAGGCTCGTCAACGCACTGCTGCACAAATTCACTCCAGGATACGGACCTTGGCCCAGGGGCTTGGCCCAGCCTGTACGCTTAAGCCTCTGGGGACTCTCCTGGGATGTGGTGAGAATATAAGCAATGTATGACACCCCCCTACCCTTACCCCTCCGTGGCATGGACTGGGCCTGGTGGCAGAGCCAGCTCCGCGGTGTCACGCTTCGCTAGGGGGAGGCCTCCCCATGTGCTCCGCACTCCAAAGAGACTCCATCCTTGCGCCATTTTACTCTCCAGGTGTTCTTGCATTCCTTTCGTTTTGGTTCTCCTTTCCTTGTTTTGGTTTTGTTGTGGCTGTCTGACCCAGGTATTTTTAGTCCCCCTCCCACCCCCACTTCTGGCGCCACCAGATCGGGGCCTTCAAAAGCAGAGCAGCTCAAAGATGGGGGAGGAAGTGCCTGCTTCAATCCCACCCCCCAACCACTTGCCCCCCAAAGCACAGTGTTGTCGCGTGGCAGGCAGTGGAAGTGGTTGGTTGCAGCACTGATGAGGGGCGGCCCATAGCCTTCCCGGAACCATTTGGGGTTGCCCACACACAAATCATGGCCCAGGGCTGCCTCTTCTGGCTTTTCCTTACACACACACACACACCCCATCTTGCCCTTCCTACATGCCAGGGATGCTGGGCGGCATTCAGGGCTCCGTAGCAGGGTGGTGGTGGTGGAGCAAAACAGGCCTGCGCAAGGCCCAGCAATATCCCATCCCACTCAGCTCCCCTTCTCATTGCAGAGGGGCGTGTGGAGACCCATTTCCCCCTCAGAAGACGTGGAGGAAAGCGTGAGTTGAGTGAGTGAGAATCCTCGTGGTGAAGCAGCTGGCTCTGCTTCATACATCTGTAAGGTGGAGGCTCTCTTTGCGAGGCCCGTCTTCAGAATCATGTTCTCTAGCTAGAGCTGACAATTACTTCTCTTCCCTTCTGCACCTCAGTTCTTTTCCTTGGGGTCCCCTTTCTTTCTCAGCACCCATCTCCATGAAATCCAACCCCCCCCTTCCTAAATATACAAATCAGGTTTGTGCCACTGTTTCCCCCATATCTCAGGGGAGGGCACGTGTGTTTCTCTGCCTCCCTCTCTCCCTGTTTTCCTTCTGCAGGGAAGAGGGAGATGCTCAGCCGACTGAAGCAGAAGCCTTTAGTCCCACTGTAAATCCTGCCCGCTTTTCTGTGCTGACCCCAGGCTAAGCCCCTGAAAGCTGCCGGGGCCGCTGCGAAGCTCTCTGTGGTAGGATCCTGGGCAGCGAGCAGATGGGGAATTATTTATTAATCTTGTTGTTGTCTACCCTTGCACTAGCTATCATGGAGAAAAGCCCATCTGGCGAAAACCGCTCCTCCCTCCAAGATGCACTGCTGCATCAGCTTTCTTTCCTTTCTGCGTAGGACCAGGCAGACGTTTCCATTCCCTTTTCCACTCGCTCGACCATTTCTCTCTCCTCCTTCCCCCTTCCCCCCCTTCCGGGGTCCCCAAGTGAAGTTTGGCCCTCCTACTGCCCCCCCCCCAACGGAGTGTTGTTTCCCGCCCCCTGCATGGCCTGATGCTTGTGCTCTGGGTCAGGCACCGTGGGGTGGGGTGGGCTGTTTCGCCATGACGAGCATACATGCGAGTTGTGTGCCTTCCTGTCTCTCTGTGCACGTGTGTGCGTGTGTTGCGTGCGTGCGTGCGTGCGTGCACACACACACTAATCCTACCTAAAAAAAAGCACCTGCTGGTTTGAAGCAAGAAAGCAACCGACCTGCCACCCTGTTACAGAAACCTGTGATCGTTTAAAAAAATATATATTAAAAAAAATAAAAGTTGTTTTGCATGATTATACCATGGAGCCGAGAGAGAGAGAGAAGCCCTCGCCATGTAGTTGGTTTGTGTTCGGAAGCCTGGCAAGAAGGACTCGGAGAGGACGATGAAACCTAATGTAAATGTTCACAAATTATGCATGCATGTTATGACCAGCTTGGAACTTGGTATTGGCTAACTCTCTAGCCAGCTGTGGGGGTGATGGGGTGGGGGGGTTAAAGAGGGAGTTCTTTGTGCTCAGCTGATTACTGCCATGCACTGTACTGCACATGTCCGCAACGCCTCACAAGGACCGTCAACGCTTTTCAGGGCATTTCTCCCTCCCCTTCCTCCCTACCCCACCCCCTCCAGATTAGAGATGGGTTTGAAACCTGGTTGGGCCAGGAGGAGGCAGCTGTGGGAGGGGGGGGCACATACAGGACTGAACCTCGAGGTAGGCTTGCAAGGGTCGGTGTTGGCAGGCGGTGGGGGGAGCGGTTAGCAGCGGCCTCAGAAAGGAGAGGGTTTCGTTAGGTGCATCTTCTCTTTCATGGTGCTGCAGAGGTGGGTGAAGTTGCACCCGCTGGCATGCTCCTTACTGTGCCATCGCCCCCTTTCCTCTCTGCATCTTTTCCCGGCACATGAACCTTGTCCCTGTATCAGCTAGTGGGATGTATCTGGCAAGTGTGGCTCCCTCAAAATTCAACTTCCTCCACCGTCCACAAGGTGGAGCTCTCTCCCCCCCCCCCCCCGCATATTCTCCATCTTCTCCCCAGCTGGGTTCATTGATTCCTGCTGCCTTTAATTGCCAGCGGAGGTCTGGCATGTACCCAACCCCCTTTTGGAATGGATGGCAGCAGATGAGAGCGGGCCATGCTTTTCCTGCTCATCCAGCATCCCAGGGCCTTTATCCATAAACTGGAGCTTCTTCCCACAAAACTACACACACACACCCCGAAAAAAATCCCATTCTCCCAGCCACACAAATGCCAGAGGGGCACTCATGAGCGGAGCGGGTGGAACAAACCATGGGCCCATTACTCAGATTGGTCTGGGCCAACCTTGGAGCAGCGTTTGTGAAGGAAAGCTAGATTCTTCCAACCTGGCTCTTTTCTGTGGGGTGCTCCGAGCTCAGATGGTGGCTGGAGAGGGGAAGTAGCCTCTCTTAAAACAGTGGGCAGGAGCAGTCTGTCTGCGTTGTTGTTTTCCTGAGCTCTCAGCAATACTTACCTCTGAAGCAGGGGAAAGTCTTTTTAGGTGTAGCTGGGGCCACCAGGCCTTTTGCCATTGGTGCTTACAGCTAATCTCTCCCCCCACCCCGACCCCAGATGCTGGAGTTCTGGAGCCACTTGAATTCAGGAAGTCCTCTGGGGAGCTAGGAGGTTGGGGACCTGAGAACCTGCTTTCGTTTTGTCTCGTGGACCTTTTATTCCGTTACCAGTCCAGGGATGATCTTCAAAGTCCTGCAGAAAGACGCCGAGCCACACAGACAGGATGTAGCAAGGTGCATTTTCTGCTTAACTACAGCTGGGTAGCAATCTCTTGTTTTGGCAGGAGCAACTAGCCTGCAGGTAGATCAGTCCGTTAGGAACCTGTTGAGCTCTGGGCAGGCCGGAGCTTTCTTTTTAATCACCCAAATTTCTGATGAATTGAATGTTTTTTAAGTCCCCACCTGGCTCAGCCCCTTCTTTGCACTTTGGCTGATAATGCAGGTTAAAACGGCGAAGTCATTTGGATCAGGTCAAATAATTTAAATCTCTTCCTTCTCAGCCCACTTTTCCAGAGGGTTAGAATAGCCACAGTCGGACATCTAAGCCAGGTCTCGGCCCATGCGCCTGCGTGCGCACACACAAAGGAATGGGCCACTTGCCATATAAAACTGCACAGACACCAGCAGCCCCTTTTGAGTACCTGTCCTTCTGTGACCACTCAGTTCTCCCCTCTCCCTCACATGTCAAGCCAGTGCCTTGTGTCAGACCCACCTCCTCCGCTCTCTCCCCCCCCCCGGCCCCAGCCTTTCTCCTCGTTTCACAGCTTTTTTAAAGAAGGAAAAACAATAACAACTTATTTCACGCGACACAAATAACCAAAGGTCTTTACTGTATATAAAAACCACAGGTGTTTCTATATTTATAGCCAATCAGAATAGTGCCGGTGCCCATCTGTTTTAAAAACGCTGTCTTCTCCTCCCCCCCTGCTATCTCGGGTTTTTCCCCCCCCCGCGCCCCCCAGAAAGATGACTTGGGGTTGGGGAGGGTAGAAAAGCCTTACGGTTCTTCTGGTGGCGACTCGAAAGCTCACAAGCTCGTGTGCTGCAGAATTTATTCCAATGAGCAGCTAAAAATTATCATTTTAAAACAAAAAACAACAAAAAAATTACTAAAACATTTATTTAGGATGTTTGTGATTGCTGATTGCGCTGTAGATGCCACTGTTTACCAATGATTTCCTGTGGTGGGATAGTGGACTGTTTACTGTTCTTTTTTACCAGTCCCGTGCCCTCCAGAGGGATAGCTCAGCTTCACCCTACAAGGAGAGGAGCCTCCCTGTAGGGCACCAGGGCATTTGTTCTGTGTTAGAAAGTTTATATATATATATATATTATATATATATTATAAATATATATATATAATTTTTTTTTGCTCTGTTACTTGCACATTTTACAGTTACCTCATTTTTCCCATGTATGTATTTGAAAAAAGGCTAATATATAGAGAAGAAAAAAGGTTCTTAAATCTCTAAAAAAGTGTTTGTTTTTTTCCATTCCATTGGAATCATATTGGTTTGTAGCATTTAACATAACTAGTATGTTGTATTATATATATGTGTATTATACTGATTGAAATTTTTAACAGATTTGTACTTTTTTTAAAATGAAAGTTGCTAGTTCTGCTTGACCAAGTAGTGCAATCATTATTTTTTTTAATGTTGTGGCTGATTTTGAGAGGGATATTCACTAATAAATGTATGATGTATACCAACGAGGGCAGGCCAGTCTCTTCTCTTGGTGGAGGCAGTGCTCTCAGGAAGGTGGTTGTTGTTGTTTGTCTTCTAATAGTAGTATTAGAGGTATCCTGACCCTCCTCCAAGGAGCTACGAATGGCATCCTCACCCCCAACTTTTGAACTGAGTTAGAATTGGAGACTTCGTAGAATGGAGCAATGGTTTGAAATGCAGTTTCCCACATCCAAAAGAGCCATGGCCTAGACCCCAGCTCACATTCTTATCAAAAAGTAGTCACAAGGATAAAATGCTGTAAAGAAAATATGCGTTCATTTGCTTTATGCTCTTATCAGTGCCACAGTAAAATATAAAAAAGTGAATGTGCTATGAAGGCACATGAATTTTCCCTCGCCAGCTTCAGGGAAGTTACTGTGCCCCTGAAACATTAACTTCAGCATCCATCTTAATTTTGGTTATGGAACAATGACACAACCTTTTTAAGTTGCAGCATGTTTAGCATTCCCACCAGCTTCTCAGTGATTGATGTGGGTAGTGTCACCCCTTGATTTCAACTAATACAGCTTCTATGATGTGTGGGTTGTAGTCCTATCTGCTGCAGCTCCGTGACACAAGGAATCAAGCACAAGCTAAGAAGTGGAATGTTAGCATTTTTAAAATATACTATCTACTCTGCCACCAGTGATACCTGGAGCAACTTGCTCTCGGCAAACAAAGTAAGCGTTTTCCAATGCCCATGGTAGTTTGGAGATTTGCTTTCAGTGTGTCAGTGGTTTGTTAAATATCATGGTTAGCACTTGTGTTTTTTTGTTTTAAAAAGCATGACTGATGTTTGGACAAATTCACAGAGAGGTCTACCAGTGGTTAAGTAGTGATTACTGCTTTTGGAGACCTCCAGATTCAGAGCATATGTCTCTTTGTAGACTTTCTGGAGACGTCTGCTTAGCCATTGTGGGAAACAGAGTGCAATAAGGTGATCTACTATTCAGTTTTGTTTTTAAAGCTAAACATGCTACATTAAGGAGACTCCATGTTTCACTCAAACTCCAAATAACTGAAGGTGGTGGCTAGAGAAAATGTTTTTTCTCCATTGTTCGTAACACTAGAACTTGTGGACAACCAATGAAGCTGAATATTGGAAGATTCAGGACAGATAAAAGGAAGGGTTTCTGCACAGTTAAAACTGTGGAACTCACTCCCACGGGAGGCAGGAATGGCCAGCAACTTGGGGTGGCTTTAAAGAAAGGTTTAGACAGCTATCAATGGCTACTTGCAACAATGGCGATGTTCTGCCTCCATGGACAGAGGCAGGAATGCTTTTGGCTGGAAACTGCAGGATGGGAGTGTGCTCTTGTCCTGCTCATGGGTTTCTCCACAGGCATCTGATTGGCCACTGTAAGAGCAGGATAGAAGGCTAGATGGGGCATTAGTCATCAGGGGCAGTTCTTGCATTTGCTGCCCACTGGGTCAATTTTTGATTAAGCCATTCACTCTAACTCCCAAGATCTTTCTTGGTTGGCCACTGCCAGCTCAGCAGGATTTGCATCTCCTGCCCACCTACGTTGTGTCACACTTGCTTACATGATACGATGCTTGTTGGATCACCCATATTCGCACATTCAAAAAACTCTTGTATCGCAAGAGTCTTTATTGAACTGTGATTTTCTTCCCTTGCTTGGAGTATGTATGGGCTGGAAGCTTTCTATTAGAAAATAGCAAGTGGTCAAACCAAAATGAACCTACCTAACCTTTACATCCTGCATTCACTCCAGCAGTATTAACTTGTTCCAGTTTGGCAAAAAGCAATACTAGTGTAAAAGCTGTAAATTTTCAGTGCAAACCACATCTTTTAACACTAGTGCCCACTAGAACATCTGGCAGATGATTTGCCTTTCCCCCAAATCATATTTGCTCATGCTCTAATTTTGCTAATTAGATAAGTAATTAGTATTAAGTTATGCAATGCAGCATGTTTAAAATGAATTGAGCAACTGCAAGATTCACAAATAACGTAGGGGTTGGGGTAAGTTATGCACATCATTCATTATGGGGTGTGAAAGTATTCTGAAGTTTTTGCTTTCTGCGGAAAATGGCATCAATCCACACTCACTGCTGTGCTTTCTCTTTATGATAAAGGCCCAAAAGGCATTCAGATGCTCTAGAGAAGAGGACCAGGGCTATGCTTCAGTCTGTTCTAGCAAAGAATTTCACATGCTAACCACTTTAAGGCATAAAGCCAATAGCTGAGAAATTATCTGAATTTTTGGGAGTAGCGAGAATTCTTTAGGCAGGGAATACCATCAGATGAACCAATACCTATGGAAAAATATGTGTAAGAACAGAGCACACACAAGGTTCACCTTGAACCTGTATTCCCACAGAAAGACTGTGTTCTTTTCATCTCCCTTTTATAATCCTTACTTAACTCAGTTTTCTTGATTCATATAGTAAGGAGGACAGAAAAATTAGTATTCTTCTGCTTCTGACCCAATCAAAAAAAGAGAAGGGAAGCTAAGTCTGGCAAATAAGAGTAATACTGTATTTCATGAGTCCAGCTCGGATTCCAAATGATGCTCATTCGCAGGAGGCAATATTTTCTGCAGTATATACAGTAGCAAGTGGAGGCTCCTCCATCACAAGGAAACAGAAAAGAGCCCAGCGAGTTCCATGAGCAAATCTGTACTCTCAACTTCCATACGCCTAAGAAAATTACACATCTGAGAGACTCCTTGTTAGCTGGAAAGACTTCAGAAGGCAGCTTGCCTGACCTCATGAACATCCCATTGCACTAAAGGGCAACAATACTGAATCTGCCTTAATACAGGCAACAGCTGCAGATATTAAGAGAGGCCTGCATCTGTAAAATCTGCAGGCTGCCTTTCAGAGCTCTGTGGGTTCTAGCTGCAACACACAGCTCATCGTTTAACACTTGCAGTGTCCTTAAGGCAGGCAGATACCATCCCCATTAACACTGACAAAATGACAACCTTGGCTCAACAAAAATGTCTGCAGTCCTTTAAGTTAGCTCAACTTTTCTGTCTGCCTTCCCTTCGCTGCTGCAGTTACCTCATGTGGCTATTGCAAGAGACATATCCCTCACTGGCACAGTCACAAACACTCCTCCACAGTGAGCCAAGGCAAGCCTAAGATGCTGTGCGGAAGGCAGTATCGAGTCCCGATTGCTGCTGCAACATGACCCAAGGGAATTTCGCTACTAAAGCTGTATGCGCACAGGTTAGGTCAGGCCATCATCTGGGCCAGTAAGACACTTGACAGTCAGAGGTGTTAGCACAGGCACACTAGAGGCAGAGTTTATTACACTACGCAGGCTAACAACCCTGGAGAAGAACCCCTGTGGTTAAGAATGTCAACCAGCTCCTTATAAAACAAAATAAACCAAAAACCACTGTTACCCCCGTTCTCCTTTGGTCATTACAAAGCAAAAGAAATATTTAAGAGATTTATACAGAGTGAGAAGCTGGAAGGGAAAAAAAGACCCTCTGCCCATCCCTCCCCTACCTGGGCAGAAGACAACCTGGCCCACAGGTACGGTGTCCTTTAGCTGTCACAAGCGGCAAAACGTCGGGTGTTCTAATGTCAGAATGTTGGGGTATATTATTTCCAATAAAAGCAATATTTGCCAAGAGCTGCCGTTTCTCCCCCTCTCTCGGGAGGGCAAACCGTGGCCCCTCCCATTGGCCCTCTGGATGTAAAAGGGGTTGCGTGTGCGTGAGTGTGCAGTTTCTCCCGCCAGTGCAGACATACGGCGTGGCTGGCCCAGGCCACAGAGTCTCTGATCCCTCATGTGTACGCAGCAGTCTTTTAAAAAAAATATTGTATTATAGTAGGAATTTCTCTTTCCATCTCTGTATTTTGGGAAAATGTCAATCGTCCGTGAGGTCCTGCACAAAGAGAACTTCCGTGTGGCTGAGTCCGGCTTCTTGCAGCGTGGGTGGGTTGGGCCACTCCTCTGTCGGAAGGCAGGGCAGGACACGGCGAGGGAAGTTGGCCTCAATCTGGAACTTCTCCGGGCTCTCTTTCAAAGAGAATAGGAAGTCATGGATCACCTAAGGAGGTAGTAGACAGTTATTCACCAAATGACTGAATGCCTTGCAACTGAGAGCAGAAAGCAGATGCTCACACTGCAACACTCTTCTGTGTTTCTGGAAAGAATACCCAGTAAGATGGGCATTTTTTCATGATCATCTTAGAGGGTGGCCTCCATGCAATCACAACGTACCTAATTTGTATAAAATGTTACTTGAGCAGTAAGTTTCCTCATATATCCACTGTTCCTAAGAGCAGAACTTTTCATGGAACACTCATGCTGAAGGAAATGTGGAGGAGATGAACAGTGTGGGAGGTGCTGGAGCCTATAAGGGGAAGGGTTAACTAGAAATATCTCCACCCTCTTTCCTCCAGCAGGAGCCTCCATTGGATCTCAGTGTCTTGCGTGAATTGAAGGAGTCCTTATATTCATGGGAGGGACACTCTGGGTTCAACCCACTGCTTCCTAAGGGCCTGCATGATGCAACATAGAGAGAGCCTAGTCTCCATATAGGAGATCCAGATTAGAATCCCTAATAAGTTAGAAAGCAAAGTGAGTCACCCAGGGTGTATTTCTTTAAGGGTAGACCACTGGTTAAGGGAAGAGGCTTTGCAAAAATGGTAAGGATATTACTGCATTGCCCAGCTCCACCATTCCTTCAGTTCTGCATACTGGGTCTCTCCTTTATCTGTATGAATCGCCAGCTGCTAAAGCAGATTCAGAGCTCAATTTCTGCTTCTCAAATAATTCTCAGCCACAAAATTTTGCCCCATCCTTACTGCTAAAGACTGTGTAAAATGGAATCGCCTCTCCACCCTGGAGTCATTGGGCATTTTGAAGACGATCTTGACACTTTCTGGGTCATCAGGATGCGGCTCTGGTGGTAGGCATTCAGATTTCCGTTCCTTCTCCTCCTGCAGAGTCTTCAGGGATAAAATGGAAATATGAATAAATGGCAGCAGCTCCAACAGTA